CACTTCTCAACATAAAAAAGATATCTTGTGAATTTCCGTTATAGTTAGCCGTTTTTGAGATATTTCGATTTTTAAGGTTCGATGCATTTTTAATTATTTATGATAAAAATAACGCTAAAAAGTCAGTATCTCGATAATTTTTAGAAGTAGACTGTACCTGCAAATATTTTTGAAATTGAAAGCAGAATAAGGTTAAACGTCAATTAGTTGACAGTTAGTTTTGTTGTCTGTTGAAACCTGAAACGTTTTTTGCAATTGTGAATGCACGAAATTTAGTTTCTTTTACCTGTTTTTTTTTGTAAGTTTTATAAAAATGCCATTTTTATTCTCCAATCAAGAGTTAGCGGATATTCATTTGGTGTATGGCTTTGTAAATGGAAACGCAGCAGAAGCAGCCAGAGAATACGCACGAACAGACGACATCCAACTCGCTCAGTATTTGTAAGAGTGCATCGCCAAATAATTGAAAATGGTTTTGGAAATCTCCAAAGGGATCAAAACATAAATGTTCGTTAGCGCAGATTTACCCGTATGATTCTGCGTGAGTTTGATAGAGATCCGACCACAAGTGTTAGGAGAGTTTCTGGTGCCTTGGGAATTTCAGCAAGCCACGTTCACCGTGTTCTTAGAAATGACCATAGACGTCCTTACCATTTGCAACCTGTGCAAGGACTACAGCCAGGGGGCGGAGAACGAAGAATCACATTTTGTCAGTGGATTCTTGATAGAACTGATAATAATAGGAAGTTTTTAAGTAACGTTTTATGACCAGTCGCCTGGCCTCCACGATCCGCTGACCTAAATCCATTAGATTTCTTTGTGTGGGGATTTCTAAAAGAAAAAGTGTACCAGACTCCCGTAACCACAAGAGATATGCTAATAGACAGAATCAGGAATGCATGTGATGAAATAAGGCCTTATTTGAATAATGTTCGATCATTCGTAGATGTGAATTGTGTATTGAACAATTGGGTTTACATTTCGAGCAACTACTTTAGATTTTCTATGTTTGTCCTAACTATCCAATAGCATTTTAGTTGTAAATAACTAATTTAATTTGTTAAAAATAATATTGGAAAATTAAACAAATTAATATTCTGTTTTTTGTGTTTATTTGGAGTTAGGAATTATTGCTGTGTTTAAAAACACAATCTAAACGATCATCTTAATTACTTGTAATGCCCAAATCGAAAATGTGAAAAAAATATTATTTTCCCATAAATAATTAAAAATGCATCGAACCCTAATAATCGAAATATCTCAAAAACGGCTAACTATAACGAAAACTTACAAGATAGCTTTTTTATGCAGAAAAGTGCGAAGACTCAGTCTTTTATTCAAAAAGCAAAAAGTTGCACTAAGAAAAAATTTTCGGTCATTTTAATACACTACAGGTACAGTTGAGAGCGCCCTCTAGCGGCTACAGTAAAACTATGCCCATGGTTCGTTTTGCCGTACCAAAAAACCCTTGTATACTAATTTTCACTGTTATACATCAAATATTGTTCGAAATATTTAAAAAAAAACTATTTTGGAAAGTAAATTTAAATACCCTGTATTTCGGAAGCCACGCATTTTTCGACCCATGTTTATATAGACTTTATGCATAAATTTTAAAAGTTCCATCGAATCTTAAAGTTATGCAACAATAAACTGAAACACCCTGTATAGGTTGTAGAACAATCTGCCCAGGAGGCTTTTCTTAGTTATACTAACCTCAGGTGGTTCAGAAATTTAAGTAGTAAAGTTTATTTAAGCTCCTGATAGCAGCCGCAGTGCCCTGGTATTCAGGCTTCTGCTTACGGTTTAAGAAAATTGGGTGTATCCAATATCTACAAAAAAAAACCATTTTATGTATATATTCCCTTAGACTGATGGAAGGCATCAGCTCACCATTTTTCTACTACAAACTTTTAAGAACGCGACATGAAAATGTAAAGTTCGAAGACAATTTAAAACATTCTAGCATGACTTTGACATCGACTAGAAGAAACTTCTTGGGTAAATAGGGTGCATAGATTAGAAATCAGTTGCTAGTTTTTTGTTGACACGAACATGAGGTAAAAAAATTTTCATTTTACTGCTCCAGAATGGGATCCCGAAGCTTTTGTATTTGTCGTTCCCAAATTATGATAATAATAATAAACCGACTATACTGATTTTCATAAACAAAGAGGTTATGATATAATATAACACAATACCAGTGGCGAAGTGTAGCTAATAGCTTCTCTACTTAACCACTTTAGGGTAGCGCCAAGTAAGTACATAATTAAGCTACAATTAAGCCAAAGAATCGATGAAGTAATCATACAAAAAAGTATATCATGGCAAACGAAGTTTTTCAAAAAGCAACGCAGGTATTCACAGAGAAATATACATGAGGTTATCATGGTTTTAACTTTTCACCATCATATAGAATCAACAAAGAAAGGAGCAGTAAATTTTATATTGACAAAGAGACCTAACCTCTTTTGATATCTGCCTATAACTATCTATAGACAAAAATAAACAAATAACAAAAAAAAGATTTTAAAAGTACTATCATTGATCTTTCTGCACATCAAGCAAATAACGTTTGAATTTGTACCTGTGTACATTCATCTAAAGTTACGCCCAAATTTTTCACTGACTCACTTACTTCTATAGTGTCACCATTTAATTTTACTTTAAAAATTTTTTTGCCATCACTTCTAAATAGTTTTATTTATTTTTATTTTAAAGGGTTCAAATGAAGGTTATGATTTTTTGCATACATACTAATGGATGTTATATCTTCATTTACCTCAGATTCAGCATTTCGAATTGGATATTACAATATTTAACAACTGAGTGGAGATTAGAAATATATAAAACGAATAGGAGTGGTCCAAGTACAGACCCTTGAGGCACTCCGGAGGAAACGAGGCACTTTGAATATAGAACCATGTCAATGTGTACGCTTTGATATCGATTTCCTAAGAAGCTATGAATCATTTTTGAGGCAGAATCAGAAAAACCAAAATATTTACACTTGGCTACTAGAAGACGATGATTTATGGTATCGAATGCCTTAGAGAAGTCAAGAAGAACTAATGATGTAATCATATGTTGATCCCAGGCTCTAAACAATGTTATCGGTTAAGGCTAATAGGGCACCTGCAGTCTTATATCCTTTTCGATAACCGTATTGTTTGGGAGGCAAAATTTGATGTTTAGAGAGATAATCGTAAATTTGGGCGTACATTGCTTTTTCTAATAATTTGGACAAAACAGGTGAAATTGTAATTGGTCTTAAATCAGAATATAATTCTAGTTTACTCATTTTAACTAGAGGTAACACTAATGCTTCTTTCCATGATTCTGGAAAGAATCCCCTTTCTAAACAGGTATTCATGATGTGTAAAATGTGACCTGAAATCGCAAAAAAAGCATAGCTTTAGCATTCTGAGTGACACGCCGTCACTTCCCAAGGTATTCGATTTTAGAGACTGAAACATCGATTTTAAATCATGTCGATTGGTTTAAACTTGAATCGATCACTAGATTAGTGATTCTTTTCATAATGCTCAATCTTCTCGGTGCATGAACAAATGGTGTTATTAAAAATGGAACAGAAATAATTATTAACGTCAGTAGGGTTCTTTAAGCGTAGAGGAATATCGGTATTTTGTGACTGTTGGATACGCACTGATTTTAAGGATATACAAAACATTTTTTAAACATTTTGTTGACGGAATAAATATGCTACTTTTTCATATCTAATTTGACTTAAAGTTGAATTTCTGAGCTCTTTGTAGCGATTTCCAAGAATATTCTATCTTATTAGTTTTAAACTGATTTAAAGCTCTGTCCCTGTCTTTCATTATACAAAAATGAATTTTAGACCATCTGTCAAATATGAAATTTTGGGATCAATACTCTCTACGGAATATATTATGCTCCAGGGAAAGTTTAAAACATCATTTTGAAATGATAAAATATCAAAATTTAGTATGAATTTTACGAATTTATGCTTAGGTTTTTTAGACTGCAAAGTTGTTTCACAAAATACTAAAAAATGATCGGTAAATAAATCCATATTTATAGTCCCAGAATTTGAACTGACTTGAAGATCATTGATAAATATGGGATCCAGTCGGCTGCTCGAAGTACTAGTTATTCAAGAGGGTTCTATAATATATAATATTAATAACATTAATCAAAAATGGCTCTACAGCAAGGATTCACACATTGTGTTTCTTAGTTTTTCACTTAGAATATGTCAGCAGTTATTAATTACTTTTAAAAAGTTGAATGCTTTATTTACTAGAGTTTGAGTATGGGCAGAGAAACGCAGGTTTGGATCAATAGTTAAACCCAACTTACGAGCAGAATCACAGAAACTGAGCACCTCATTTGATATTTTTAATGAAACAGTATCTTTCAGAGTATTATTATTTTTATTTGCAAAATAAATAACACTTTTCTTAAACTTGTTGGATAATATATTGATCGATTGAAGATCTTCGATGAGGGTTCGTTCTATTGCAGCTCTATCTTTTAAGAAACAGGTTAAAGAAACTTTAATGTCGTCAGCGTACGCTTGCAATCTCACATTTTGTACTTTACTCAAAATATCTGCAGTGTATGTTATGTTAATTAGGGCCCAAGTATAGACCTTTGCGGCGCCCCTGACAGAATATCTCTGCTTTTCGAATAAGAATCATCAATATGAATATCAAACAAAAAAGAATTGCGTTTGCGAATTAAATGTAAACTTAACCATGATAATGGTTTTAAAAATTTTCCGTAATCTGCGTCTACAAAGCAGGTGATCATCGGATAGCATATAGTTCTCCTTTAAATCCATATCTAATTCCAACAGCTGGAATACAATGATTTTTATATGGAGAAGGATGGGTCGGAGGATCGTGTTATATATTTAGCACCAAAGGTATAATAGGGAAATTGTGTTGTGTGTAGATGGCTGCAGCGGATAATGGCCCGGAAATTGCTTTTTTAAATATTTTATTACCGTATAGATTAAGCGACAATAGAGCCGCATGGATAATTCAAAACCGTTGCGTGGTGTATGTCAAAAACAGAAATAACTCAATGCTCAATTGTTGTAGAAGAGATAAGGACACGCAAGTCTGTGTGTCAGAAGGTGGATTCGGAATTATTCATTATTCCTGCGAAAGAAAAGGAAATCGTAGAGATCGTTAGATGAACAAATCATTCACATGTGAGAAAAGAGCTTATTGTAATCAGAGTTCAATTTATAGAAAATGGCGTCAAGTAGATTAACTCTATACAGAAAGGTCAAATCGCTTCAAAATGCGACATCGAATCGTGAGTAGGTAGGTACGATGAATCTTCGACCTCTGCATATTGAACTATATCAAGCAAATCTATCATATTGGTAGATGAAATTGTTGCTGCAAATCGGAAACTAAAAGACAATCTAACTACAGGACCTGACCAAATTCCATCATGTTTTGTAAAGGGTTGATATTTCCTTTACAGATTCTGACATACTCAATTCCAAAAACAAAGAACTATTTATAACTTAGTTTGAGATTATAGAGCAGTACCTATCTTAAACAATTCTGCTCTTGGAGATCATATTGTATAACGGAATATATCTTTCCGTGAAAGACCATATTTCGTTCCATCAACTTGGCTTTATGAGACAGCGATCAACATTAATTATACTAAGTGACATATAAATCCGAACACCCAGTTTTAATGGTTTTATTTTAATAAAATCTTTTATAAGTACTTAATGAAGCATAATAAGTAAATGATAAAAATTTCAAAATGATTGCACTTCTTTAAAGCCCTTTGACCTTTAATAATATGTGGATGCACCCTGATGTGCTACGCATTCTCCAACGCGCCTCGGCATGCTTCTGATCAGGTGGTCAATGTCTTCCTGTGGTATCTCATTCCAGGCAACCACCAACTCCTCTCGAAGTGCTTCTAGAGTCTGAGGAGGACGTTGCAAATTGAGCAATCTCCTACCCATCATATCCCACACGTGCCCAATTGGGGATAAGTCGGGATATCTTGGTGGCCATGGTAACAATGTGACATCATTATGTTGAAAGAAGTCTATTGTGACTCTTGCAACATGTGGTCGGGCATTATCTTGTTGGAAAGTTGAATCTGCCAGGGTATCAAGATAGGGTAAAAGATGGGGTTCTAGAACTTCGTGGATATAACGCTACGCGTTCATGTTACCTCTGATGAAGACTAAAGGTGACCTGGAACCATAAGCTATAGCACCCCAAACTATAACTCCAACAGTGTGATGAACATGTCTTTCAACAAAAAACTGTGGATTCCTCCTTTCACCACGTCGCCTTCTAACCCTGGCACGACCATCGTGCATGCCTAAACAAAATCGAAACTCGTCACTAAAGACAATACTGTTCCATTCCTGATCCCAGAGTGACCGTTGTCTGCACCACTCAAGGCGATTACGTCGGTGTTCTCGAGTTAAAGGGAGGACCCAGTGTGGCCGGTATGAAAACAAGCCAAAACTTCTTATTCGTCGGTAAACACTTCGCATGCCAATAGGTCTTCCGTGTTCTGCAAACCATTCATTTGCAATGGACCTGGTAGTGGAGAAACGGTCCCTTAAGGTCAATAATCTTAGGCGGCGATCTTCACGGTCTGTTGTTCTACGGCGGCGTCCAGTGCCCCTTGCTCTTTGCGTACGGCCTTCTCGAAGCCATGCCTGACAACACCTAACGACAGTGTCTACACTTCTTTGCACTCTAACTGCAATTGCTCGAAAAGAAAGTCCAGCTTCCCGAAGTCCCACTATACGGCCCCTATCAAACTCACTAAGTTGACGAAATCGTACAGGTCTCCGTACTCTAGGCATCGTAACCGATCGTAAAGGATGTCAAGAACCAAAATCCGCCAACGTTGATTCTTTACTGCGGCTGAAATATTCATTTTTAGAGCGTTAGTGAATTAAAAAAAAGCAGTATAAAAACCGGAATGTCCAACTGATAAGGCTGAAAATTTTTTTACTTGTTATTTGCAGTAAGATAAATACATTCACCAACTTTTATTAAAATAAAACCATTTCAACTGGGTGTTCGGATTTATATGTCACTGATGCTCAGTCAATACTTATTCCAAAGATTGGATAACAGAGGCCAGATTGCCGTGGTGTTCACGGATTTTTCCAAAGCCTTTGATTAGGTTAATCACAATATATTGTACCGTTTTCTGGGTTCTTTTGGGTGAGGATTAAAGCAATGGATTCCACAAAAAGATTTGCACAAATTCATTTATCTTGACTAGATAGAACATTTATGTACACCACTATTCATGTCTGACAATTGTTATGTCGCGCCATTGACTGAACTATACTCCACTCTGCTCTACTCTACTGTACTCCGCTCCCCTCTCGGCTGACGAGTTATATAGTCGCATCATTAGGGCGAGAAGAATCTAGTGAGCCACCTAGCGGCCTTCCAGAATCGTCGAGGTCGCTTCGCGTCGATCTAGCAGGCGAGTCACTGACACGCTCCTCAACAGATGTCGTCAACAGAACTACTCATTACACTGATCAACAGCCAAAAAATATCCTAAATAAAATCAACAAAATATTACTATTTTTAATGTGCTAAAACCGGAATGAAACTTATTTTTTCAATATTAGTTCAAGTTTTAGAGATACGGTAATTATATGTGTTCCTGCTGTGACAGTGTTAATATACTGTAATTCACAAGAATGCACGTGCTACATTTTTATATTCGGCAGGGAAAGATGATGTAATCGGCATGATTGTGTTACGTTATACATACGTGTACATTATATTGTTTTATATTAGCCATTTTTTCCTCAGTTGGCTGACAGCGTTCATGCAAGATGTCTCGAAAGTGTGTAAACAATCCAGATCAGTTTTGTTACGTGTGTGGTGATGTGACTTTTGCGTCTCAGAGACGGTCTATTACTCCACTAATAACAAAGGCATATCAGCTTTATTTCGGTTGTAAACTAGGTGATCAAGACAAACAGTGGGCACCCCACATCTGCTGTAATACATATGCTTCAAGTCTGAGGAGCTGGTTAAATGGCAAAAAACGGTCTATGCGCTTTACTGTTCCAATGGTTTGGAGAGAGCCTACAAATCATATTAATGATTGTAACTTTTGCATGGTACCATGTGTTGGACAAGCCACAGGTATGTCCAAGAAAAAAAAATCGGTTATTAACTACCCAAACATACCATCTGCGATGAGACCTGTGCCTCACAGTGACGAAAATCCTATTCCAAAACCCCCAGAATTCTACACTTGCGAATCAGAAAACGAATCAGATCATGGCGATCGAGTGATTCGTCAGGAAGAAGATATGCCATCAACGTCAAGAGATCCTGATTTTATACCGAGCACGTCATACCACCAACCGCACAAAATAACACAGTCAGAATTAAATGATCTTGTAAGAGATTTAGAACTTCCAAAATGTAAGGCAGAGTTACTTGGATCAAGACTGTAGCAGTGGAACTTGTTAGAAGACGATGTTTCGGTATGTGTTTTTCGTAAACACCACAAAGACTTAGAACAATTTTTCAATATGGAGAATAACTTGGTTTTCTGCAGTAACATTAACGGCTTACTGGCGGCTTTAAATATAAACTATAACCCCGAAGAATGGAGATTGTTTATAGACAGTTCAACATTGAGTTTAAAGGCAGTGTTATTGCATATTGGAAATATTTTACCATCTCTTCCTGTAGGGTATGCAGTTCACATGAAAGAATCATATGACAATATGAAGTACCTATTGACATGCATAAAATACGATGAGCACCAATGGCATATTTGTGGCGATTTGAAAGTTGTTGCACTTTTACTTGGGCTGCAGCTAGGCTACACAAAGTGTTGCTGTTTTTTTGTGTGAATGGGATAGTCGGGCAAAGGCACTTCATTACACCAGACAAAACTGGCCTGTTCGTCAATTCCTAGAGCCAGGTCAAAAAAATGTACAGCATATGCCATTAGTAGATTCGAAAAAAAATTTATTACCACCACTGCATATCATGTTGGGCCTAATGAAAAACTTTGTCAAGGCATTAGATAGAGATGGGTACGCTTTTCAATACCTGCGTCAGAAATTTTCAAGACTAAGTGAGGCAAAGGTTAAAGAAGGTATTTTTGTTGGGCCACAGATTCGAAATATTTTGAAAGATACACAGTTTGAAAACACTTTAACAGGTATTGAAAAAACTGCTTGGAATGATTTCCGTCTGGTGGTCACTAATTTCTTGGGAAATAGAAAAGCTGACAACTATAAAACCCTTGTCAAAAATATGCTGTCATCGTAGCAAAAGATGGGCTGTAATAGGTCTCTTAAGATACATTTCCTACACTCACACCTGGACTCTTTTCCTGGCAATTGCGTAGCCGTAAGTGATGAGCACGGCGAACGTTTTCATCAGGATATTTCAACAATGAAAAAAAGGTACCAGGGAAAGTGGAATCCTTCCATGCCGGCAGACTACTGTTGGACTCTTGGTAGAGATGCTCCAGAAACGATCCATAAAAGAACAGCAAAAAGACAGCGCATATAGTGATTCTTATAAGTATATGAGTCTTGTTACTTTTTTTAATATATCCTTAAAAATAAAAAGTTTTTTTTCTAAACCGCAACTATTTTTTTTATTTCATTGTCATTTTTAGATTCAGCGCCCCAAAATTAACACAGAAGTGCACTTTTCCCACAAGATACAATTAAAAAACTAAAATTTGTTGTTATTGTTATTGTTACAACATTGATTAGTAAGCTACGATACTTAGGCTTTAACAGAACTCATATTTCCTACCTTTCTGAAAGGAAACACTATGTTTTTTACAATGGATACTATTCGGATGTTTTCATATCCACCAGCGGTGTTCCTCAAGGCTCTAACTTAGGACCGCTACAGTTCAATCTTGTCGTCAATGATTCATGTGCCTTTTTCGGATGTCCGAAGTTGATGTTTGCTGACGATTTAAAGTTTAACTCTACTATTTCCTCGATAGGGGATTATGTTGTGTTACAATAACAAATCCATATTGTACCAAGATGGTGTGAAAATAACACAACATTTTTTCAAATATTTCTAAATGTACTCACTTTTTCTAGTCAAACTAATCCTATATGATACAACCCTGTGTCTGAAACTGTATTCCTCGATAATCACCTTTTCACTACTCAG